GGAATTAAACTAAAACAAAAGGCATTATTCTTATAGAGTTTTGAAAGATCTTTCGATTGGCATTTACCAATTTGAGACACGATGCGTATTTTTCAAATTATAGAGAAAATAAAATTGACCAAAATCGACTTTTTTTGAAAAAATTTATTTTTAGAAAAATCTAGAACAGGTTCAAGTTGCACGGAAATACATCTAATAGAGAATTAATCAGGCTATCAATAGCAAAAAAAATCATAAAAATCGAGTAGACCAATTTTGAGAAATTCTATGTCAAAATCAAATTTCTAAACTCGTCAAATTTCAAGCTTTTTAAAAAATGTAAAACGCAAAAGTATGAAAAAAACTTTCACAAAACCGGATAAATAAGCACCATTTCAATATCTCAACTAAAACATCAAAATATTATTAAAATAAGTATAAATTTTGCACATGTTCCGATATAAGTGCATTTTATTTAAATTTCGAAGGAGGTACAACCTGCACGCTTAAAGTTCCTAAAACTAAATTGATCACTCTTTCAAACAAAACTAATTTCACAAAAATCGAGTAGAACGTTTTTTAATTATATATGTTTAAAAAAGTGGATTTTTTACGAAAAAAATGTATGTTAACTAACACCATTCTAATAACATATTAAGGTGAAAACCTGTACAAGGCTAAAAATTCACCACCATTGTAAAGTTTATTAAAGAACTCTGTTAAAAGTATCTATAGGCGGTTGTATTCTGTGGTAAGGGAATGATAATAAAATTTAATTTATATAATAATAATATTTTAAATTCAATATTTAAATTAAATTCAAAAATATATTGCATATAAATAAAAAAGAAAGATTTTCGTCTGTAAACTGCTAACATATACCGCCATATCGAACATTTTTCAATATATATTAAAAACAAAAATAAAAAGTAGTACAATGTTGCACGGTATTTTTTTAAATTGTTTATATTTTTCTAATATGAATTGATGTAAGAATTATCAAAATCGAGTAGCAAACAATAAAGATATTAACAAAAACAACTTTTGCAGCATATTCACAAATGCATTGAACTCTGTTACTATTAGAAATACAGAAAAACTTTGTATGAGTGAATTGTTTATTTTTAGTAGATCTATAACTTTTAGGAAGACAGTTTTTATGTAAAATTAAATATGTCGGAGATATAAGCAATCAAAGATGAATTTTATGGAAAATCGTTATTTTCCAATCTTTGAGGCTCTTGGGGCACCATTTCCACTTATCCAATTGAACTAAAATTTCACACAGATTATTTTTTTTAGTAAAATGAACCGATCTGGGGGGTGCCGCGGGCAATTTTCCGACTTTCAAAAATTAATGGCACCCTAATGTACATACATATTTGGTTATTACTATATTAGGAATATAATAATACCTGAATATTAATATCTTAAAATAATAAAATAACAAATTCCATAATTTAATTTTGTTCAAAATTATTTTATTATAATTTATATAAAGAAAAAAATATTATGATAATCAGACAAAAGATTGTAATAATAATTAAAAAAAAAGAAAAACATTATAAAAATAGAAGAAAAAACATTATAATAACTAGAAAACACATTATAATAATAATAAAAAGCATTATAAAAATAACAAAAAATAAAAATAAGAAAAAAATATTATGATAATAAGACAAAAGATTGTAATAATAATTAAAAAAAAAAGAAGAACATTAAAAAAATAGGTAAAGAACATTATAATAACTAGAAAACACATTATAATAATAATAAAAAGCATTATAAAAATAACAAAAACACATTATATAAATAAGAAAAAAACATAATAATTAGAAAAAAAAAACCATTATAATAAATAGAAAAAGAAATGCATTATTTAATTTTTTTTTTCAGTTCCCGATTTTCCTTCTCAAGTTCAATTAATCTGATTCGCATTTCATTTTCATTTATTTGGTTACTCTGAAAATATAAAAAAAAACTTTATTAATTTATTTAAAAATTTTAATAAATATGATTTAACTTACATTTCTATTATTTATTGCTGCAGCACCGTTTTCTACTGTCGGCGTCAGCACACTTCGGCTCTCCTCCTGCCGACGGAGGTTTTCCTCATGCCGACGGCGGTTCTCCTCCTGCCGTCGGAGGTTTTCATCATGCCGCCGGCGGTTTTCGTCTTGTCGACGGCGGTTTTCACATCGCAATCAGCTGTTTTCGTCATATTGCCGGTTGTTTCCTCCTTGCCATCGGCGTCCTTTACGCCAACTTCCTTGTTGGTAGTGTTGACGCTGCTGTTGCTGTTGACGCTGGTGTTGCCATTGACGCTGCGGTTGCTAAAGAGAGATACAAAAAAGTTCAATTTTATTATTACATTTAAAATAAATAATAATATAATATTATATATACATATGTTTTAAATTAAATTATTTATATTATTAAATTTACATACAGTCTCACCGCGTGCTAGCAATCCCACTAATACTGCCGTTAGAAGATCTTGGTTCTGAAATAAAAGCATTAAAAATTTAATATTTATATTTTAAATATTTATTCTTACTTTTTTAAATTTAATTTATAAATTTTTAAATATTTTTTATTGATTTATACTTACCATTATTAAGATTTATGCTTCCTGCGCACAACTTTACTGTACAAAAGATAAACGCAAACTATATCAATGTTCAAATTAGGCAAATGCGTTGTTTGTATTTAGTATACAGAAGAACATAAGATATGATATGGCGGTATATGTTATGTTAGCAGTTTACAGACGTAAATCTTTCTTTTTTATATGCAATATATTTTTGATAATTTTAGAAAATCTGTCTACTCATTTTTAAAGATTTATATACCAAAATATTCTAGAATATGTCTATTTTTTAAAAAAATACCGTGCAACAGTGTACCATTCCGTAAAATTTATAATTATTTCAATTTTCATAGTGTCCCCTAACACAGAATATAACCAACAACAAATGCCTGTAACAGAGTTTAATGCATTCGTGAATATGCTGCAAAAGTTGTTTTTGTTAATATCTTTATTGTTTGCTACTCGATTTTGATAATTCTTGCATCAATTCATATTAGAAAAATATAAACAATTCAAAAAAATACCGTCCAGCATTGTACTACTCTTATTTTTTTTTAATATATATTGAAAAATGTTTGATATGGCGGTATATGTTATGCAGCTTACAGAAGAAAATGTTTGTTTTTTATATGTAATATATATTTGATTATTTTAGAAAATCTATCTACTCATTTTTAATGATTTATACACCAAAATATTCTAGAATCTGTGTATTTTTCAAAAAAGTACCGTGCAATATTGTACCAGTTCGTAAAATTTATAATTAATAGAATATTATTAGTATCCACGAACAGAGAATATAACAGCCACAAATGCCTGCAAAAGACTTCGATGCATTTGTGAATATGCTTCAAAAGTTGTTTTTATCAATATCTTTATTGTTTGCTACTCGATTTTGATAATTCTTGCATCAATTCATATTAGAAAAATATAAACAATTCAAGAAAATACCGTCCAACATTGTACTACTCTTATTTTTTTTTAATATATATTGAAAAATGTTTGATATGGCGGTATATCTTATGCAGCTTACAGAAGAAAATTTTTGTTTTTTATATGTAATATATATTTGATTATTTTAGAAAATCTATCTACTCATTTTTAATGATTTATATACCAAAATATTCTAGAATATGTGTATTTTTCAAAAAAGTACCGTGCAACATTGTACCAGTTCGTAAAATTTATAATTAATAGAATATTTTTAGTATCCCCTAACAGAGAATATAACAGCCACAAATGCCTGCAAAAGACTTCGATGCATTTGTGAATATGCTTCAAAAGTTGTTTTTGTCAATATCTTTATTGTTTGCTACTCGATTTTGATAATTCTTGCATCAATTCATATTAGAAAAATATAAACAATTCAAAAAAATACCGTCCAACATTGTACTACTCTTATTTTTTTTTAATATATATTGAAAAATGTTTGATATGGCGGTATATGTTATGCAGCTTACAGAAGAAAATTTTTGTTTTTTATATGTAATATATATTTGATTATTTTAGAAAATCTATCTACTCATTTTTAATGATTTATATACCAAAATATTCTAGAATATGTGTATTTTTCAAAAAAGTACCGTGCAACATTGTACCAGTTCGTAAAATTTATAATTAATAGAATATTATTAGTATCCCCTAACAGAGAATATAACAGCCACAAATGCCTGCAAAAGACTTCGATGCATTTGTGAATATGCTTCAAAAGTTGTTTTTGTCAATATCTTTATTGTTTGCTACTCGATTTTGATAATTCTTGCATCAATTCATATTAGAAAAATATAAACAATTCAAAAAAATACCGTCCAACATTGTACTACTCTTATTTTTTTTTAATATATATTGAAAAATGTTTGATATGGCGGTATATGTTATGCAGCTTACAGAAGAAAATTTTTGTTTTTTATATGTAATATATATTTGATTATTTTAGAAAATCTATCTACTCATTTTTAATGATTTATATACCAAAATATTCTAGAATATGTGTATTTTTCAAAAAAGTACCTTGCAACATTGTACCTATTCGTTAAAT